TAATCATGGCAACTCGGTTGTGAGAAATTCCAAAGTTATAAAAAGGGAATTCCTCTAAATTATTTGTGTGGGTTGACAGTGTTATTAATGTTTTCATCAATTTGTCGGATATCAATATCTGCACATTATTATTTATCGATATGCGTTTTTGTGATTCGCGATTGTGAACTTCGAGTCAAGATTTTTCTTCGAGAATGGTTAAAAAGTCCCGGTCCATTGTACAGCATACAAATGTTCAATTTTATTTGATTATAGTACGTATACATAGGCACGTAAAGAAATCTATAGATTTCGGCTACTCACTATATAACTCAAAATACCGTGAAAAATACAAGTCACATGCGGTAGGGGGCCGTCCATTAATTACGTGATATTTTTGTCATTTTGTAAACCGTCAAATGTGGTAACACTGGCGGCGATAAAATGGTTGCAGGGGATTCCCCAACGACGTCTTGTATCGTATCATTACGTTTCACTTTCCTTTTTTACTTTTAACGTTGTCAGTGAACAATGAGTACCTACTTGAGTACAATCTTACATAAATAAATTAGAAAACTAATATTATGGACAAAAAAAAAGAAACCCAGTGGTGCATTTAAACGCAAACAACGTAAAGAAATAGAAGAAAAACAAAAATTGCCAAATATTTACAAGTTTTTTAGTCAGCCTTATGCAAGTACTTCTGGAGAAAATATTTCTATTGATAATTTTTGTAAATAGCTTGCATGGCGATAAGTTAAATAACAGTAAACTGGTGTAACGTATCTATGAATAAATAAATATATAATAATCCGTTGAATCTTTTCTATTTCGTTTTATTTCCCAATACCTACCAAGTATAACAATAATTGTAATTTATGTTGTTAGTGTTTAATAGTTTTATTACCTGCCCATGCACGAAAAAGAGCTGATGATAAAGTTGCTTAGCATTTGTAAGTATTTGTATATTTAATGATTTTACTTCAAAAAACCTTACTAGTTTTGATAGCAGTGGGGCCCCATTTTTTTATTTGCCCCAGGGCCCTAGGTTACCTAGCTACGCCACTGAATAGAACTCACGGCGAAGTCCAAGATTGAGGGTAATCTCGATGGTGCCGTAGGTCAGAATAGGTGTTCCATTTGCAGCAACCAGTTCGAATGTTGATTTGAGCCGCTGATCTCTAAGAAGACTCTTCGGATAAGCACAAACGTCTGAACCGGTATCTACAAGGTACTGTATCTTAGTGCTCTTGTCTGTCACAAAAAGGCGGCCTTTGCAGGTGGAGCAGTCATTAGCCGCCATTATTGACTGCTGCGGTGGTTTTCCGACTTATAGTCACATGGTTGTACGCACCTCTTTGCTTGACTTCCAAACTTGTAATGGTACCAGCACGTAGGGAACTTCCTATAATTAGAATTGGAGCGCCGAGAACTAGAGCGATCTCTCCTTCGGTCTTGGTGTCTGGTGGTACTCTTAGAACGATATTTGATGGGATACCTGACTAGCAAGAGCCTGTACTTGCTTGGTCAGCTCTGAAATCTGCATTACCATCTGGTCCATTGCACTCGTTGACGTGGTTGCTATTTGAGGTCCCGCAGGAACGACGTCGTGAATCCTATCTGCCAGGTCTGCCAAAGCCTCTAAAGAAATCTCAGCCTGCGAGGCAATGATCGTTTGAGTGCCACTTGGTAGTCTGCTCGCCCATATGGTGCGCAAAAAATCGTCGGGTACTTTAGGTCCAGCTAAATTCTTCAAGTGCCTAAGGAACTGAGAAGGTTTTCGGTCGCCTAGCTCCTCGTGCATCAGAAGCTGCTTCACCTTTTTTTCTCTTGATGCCGAGAGACGCTTTATCAACTCTGATTTTAGCTTTAGGTACTTATCGGTCGCTGGTGGATCCACAATAATATCTTCGACCTCAGACGACGTGTACTGGTCGAGCTGCGCAATAACATGATAAAATTTCGTGGCATCTGTTGTAATTCCCGAAATCGCAAACTGACCCTCTATTTGTGCGAACCAAATGGCTGGTTTTTCAGACCAAAATGGCGGAATTTTGATGCTAACTCTACCGAGTTCCGCGTTGTGTGCTGTGGAGACGCGTTCACCGTCAGTTGCCATTTTATATTCGTCTTCGTCTGATTCAATAATTTCCATGCACTGAGCGTGTTTCTTGAGGTCACCAATGTAGTAGAATGAATTGAATTGGACTCTTAATAAAACAATAAATTATTTATGATGTACGTCCAGTATATTCTACATACTTAAGAAAGTTATGCACGGTACAGTTACACACTATTGCTAGGGAATTAATACAGTTTTCAATTAGGTACAACACAGCACGATAATCTTTAGGAAATCAATTATTTTTCTGGTAAAAGTTATACGAAGCAACAATTTCGAGCGAATGACAACTCCTTGTCACAGTTGTGTCAGAAGAGTAAAATGTTCCGCGAATGTGCGAAGTCTAGCTACAAAAGAAGATAAAGTATGCAAACTGAATAAGAGCTTATATAGGTTAAAACAAGCTCCATTAATGTGGAACATTAAATTCACAGAATTATTAGTTAAAATGGGATTTAAACAATTAAAGTTAGATCAGTGTATTTTTGTGATGGAAGGTAAAAGAAGAATAATTCTTGCGATTTATGTTGATGACGTGTTAGTAGGTGGGGAGAAAGAAGAAGATCTGATGCATATAGTGGAAACGTTGAGAAAAGGATTTGATCTAAGAATCTGCGAAGAAGTATCAAACTATACCGGGCTGGAAATAAAACATGAAGAGAAAGGAGTGAAAATTTGTCAAGAAATGTATATCGAAAAACTTTTGAAGAGATTTAATTTAAATGAAGCTAGAGAGTACCAAACCCCAACCATCTTGATAGAACAACACCCTAAGGTGAAAGTAGATACAGAGAGTCATGAACTCTACAGGGAAATTATAGGATCATTGTTATACCTGGCCAACAAAACGAGGCCAGATATTAGCTTCCATGTAGGTTATTGCTCGCGCCAACAAAATGCTCCAAATTTAAATGATTTAAATAATGCAAAAACTATTTTAAAATTTTTGAAAGGTTCGATAAAGAAAGGTATTCACTTTGCTGAAGGTGATAAAGTGCTTCGTGGTTACTGTGATTCAGATTTCGCGGGGGATCCAGACACTAGACGTAGTACATCGGGTTATGTGATTTGATTGAACGGTGGACCAGTGGCATGGAGTTCAAGAAAACAGCCGATTGTAGCCTTATCAAGTACAAAAGCAGAATTTATAGCCGCAGCAAAATGTTACAAAGAACTTTTGACGTGGATACGTCTATGTTTTCGTTCTACAGGGGGGTCATTCTGTGAGCAGGAGCTTATGCACTAACGCCATCTATTGGCGTATAAGTGAACTATGCTTGCTCTGCAGGGGGAGGGGCATTCTGTCAGCAGGAGTATATGCACTAACGCCATCTGTTGGCGCTAGTGAATACTTTTTTCATTCAACAAATGAACGCAAAGAATATTTATTTATTTAGTGTTTAGTGTATTCAATTTGTTTATTTATTTTTTTATCAATTACTCATATATCCATTCATACATAGACGTATCCACGCATAAAATATGGCTGTATCAATGATACAGCCAACCAGGGTTTTTTGTTTATAAGAGATTTGATATTTGAAATGACCAATGAAAAATTAGAAATAGAAATGAAAGTGGACAACCAGTCAGCTATTTGGCTTATGAAGAAAGGTATTATGAATAAAAGAAGTAAATACATAGATGTAAGATACTACTATCTAAAAGATCAGATTGATAAAAACAGAATAACAGTCAAATATTGTCCAACGGGTTCGCAGATAGCAGATATACTTACAAAGATCGAGATTTTAAAACTTAATTTATGGACACCGCGCGCCGTGCGTCAGCTGAGCGCTCGCTCGACGCCGTAGGTATGTACTCGTAGGTACCTACACGGGTCACTGACCGCTCATTTTGTTAGATTCGAACTAGATTTTATGCCATGATCTGAGGTGATTTCTAAGAGTAATTCCAATTTTCCCTTCATACTTTTATGGTTAAGGCCATCAAAATGCAAAAAAATAAAAGAGAAACAAATTCGTTACCTAGAAAAAAATATTAACGTTATGCCGAAGTTACATAGCTACTTCTGCGTTAAGGCGTATTTAAAAAAATTGGAATCAACTACTTATTTACAATAACGTTTCGACAGGGATAAAAAACTAAAAAAAGAAATTAACTAATTATGGAAAAGTGTTCTATTACTGACACTGAATCACCAAAAAAAATTTTTGCACTGGAAAAAAGATATTCCTGTATATCTACGGTAGTTTTGGTGGTCATTCTAAATTAATTTTTGTATTGTAATGGCAGGTAGAAGTGTAAGTTAGGATACTCAGCATGTGCAACAGATTGAGGGGGTGTGTTGAGGGAGACCTTCTTGGTTTAAGATCTTTTTAATTAATTTAAATTTAAATATTGACATTTTGACAATCGGGAGCTTTTAGATCACATGAGTTTATTTACCACCAAAAATATATACTTTATTAAATATAAACAGCACGTACAATAGCTTTACGAAGAGTTACTTTCAATATATAATAACAATAGACGCTAGACCATCGGGTATCATCCTGCCCATCTGCACAGACTGAAAATCATCAGCAACTCTAAGTGTATTTATTGTAACGAAGAAGGTGCCGATTTAAATAATTTATTATTGAAATGCCCACAGCAAGATATTAAAATTCATAGACTTATTTTAGCGAGTGTGGTAACAAATCTAAATAGTAACAGTGACAGTAATGTTCTTGACAATAACAGTGAAGTTTTACATACGCTCCTCATTGATACAAGATGCTATAAAGCATTATATGATTATATACAAAATACTAATTTTACTATTTAGTGCATGGATTTATCTTTCCTCGTTTTATAATGGACTGATTGTAAGATAATAAGTTAGCAAAAAGGGCAAGAACTCGGTGCTGTTAAAACAATTAAAAAAAAAACAATCAAACAAAATGCATCAAAATATCAAAATGTGGTCAAAATTATTAAAAGTGATAAGATCCAGTCAATGTCGATGATAAGAAATTCCCAAAATATTGGCCAATATAATTTGTGTATAACGCTTTGATAGGTGGACTTGAGCAAGGTAATCTACTGAGTGGATATCCGATAGAATAGGTACTAAAAAAAAACAGCTATTTCTTTAAACTTTAAAATTCTATCTATTAATTCCATAATACTTTTATGGTTCTTAACGGATGCGGCCAAAGAAGTCTACTAGATGAGTTTGCGGTTTCTTCCTAAAATATTCTGAATGAAGCAAAATAAAATATTTTGTAAATTGCACTTTGCAATAATTGCTATGAAAATGTCTAAGAACAAGACAGCTGACTATTAATGGGACAACAATGGTGGAACAAGAAACAGACAACACTTGTACTAAGAATGATGTTGAAACTTACAACTTCTATTACAAACATACTTCTCAGGATGAAAAAATCTGGAAAGATTTTTTACAACGCTGTCTTCATAGATATACAAATAGCCTTTCTTACAACAATCTTTGAAATCATGAAAGCAGCCCGTTGGAAAACATAACGTCAGCTCAACTCGAGCTGGATTGTGAACATGTTAAGATACAGGGCGATATAAATCACAGTAAATCCCTCCACGAAGGGACCACTGCAAATTTGAAAAAAAAATGTGGTGAAATGAAAATCAGGTTATACATATATATGTAATCAACACTACCTATGTTATTTGTATATTACATTATCATTAGAAACTAATCAAGCTAATAGCATTTTCCTATTTGACATTTGACTGTAAGCTAAGTTTAAAACTTAGCACAAACAAAAAAAATGTGTTTATGAAAATACGTGATAATTCAAAACGCAGGATGAGGGGCAGATTGCAAAGGGAAGCTTTGCAATCTGCCCCCTTTCCTCTACCATATTATATTTTGTACTAAAATTGTAAATGAACAGGCAATCAATGTAAAATATTAATATGTTGGTTTTATAAGATGTAAATTAGTTTTTATTTATTTTTTTAATAACAATCAATAATCTATTCTTTTCAGAGTGATGTCAAATGTGAAAAGTTTGAACAGGATTCAAGTTTTTATACTCCAAATATTATTTGGAGTCTCTATTTATATAGGTAAGTAAAATAGTTACAACACTCGCATCAAAGGGCTTTGTATCAAGGGTTTTATACATTAAATCTGGTGTCCTGTAGGGTCTCACCTGAGACCAATCTGATTTTTGTTATTCATCAACAATATAACTTCACATTAATGATGTAATGAATGTAATTTTTGTAACATTAAGTAAGTGTGGTTTAGTGTTAAGTTATATTTTAAGTTTGATACAATTACATAGTTATTTAAAAACTTAAGTTTTGGAGATGAATTTGTTTGTATTGAGATACACTGAACCAACTTCCTTTTTAGGGTTCTGTACCCAAAAAGTAAATACGGGATCCTATTACTAAAACTCCACTGTCCGTCTGTTGCCAGGGTGTATCTCATAAACTGTAATAGATATGACAGTTGAAATTTTCATAAATGATGTATTTCTGTTGCCGCTACAACAACAAATACTAAAACCATAATATAAATATTTAAGGGTGGCTCCCATACAACGAAGATGTTTCTTTTAAAGAAAATGCAGAACTTTTGTAAAAAAAATGCATGTTAGCATTCGGTCACTCATGGATCGGATATACTTTGCGATTACTGGTAGCGGTATGTTATCCATTCATCAGATATTGCGGCTTGTAGCTCAACAAAGGATGAAACCGCGGGAACTTTTACTCGAATTTTCCCTTTAAGCTCCTCGCTTATGTACTTTTGATTGATTGCGTTTAATTGGGAACCTTGGCTACGAGCTGGCCATCTCATTTGATGAATCCAGACATAAGTAAGTATTCCGATATAGACGGAGAACTCGTAATAAATTAGTGCACCCAGTGCACATTCAATATACCTTCTCAACCCATCTATCTACACTCTATCCACGAAAGGTCGGGCTTTCAATTTTTATAAAGTTTGCCGCCTTCCTTGAAGTAAGAATAAAAGGAATTCGGATAAGTATAATAGTGTGGTGTTGTCAGACTGCTTAAAATGTGGTATTATTTTTATATGTAATTAGATAAGCTTTCTCGAAGTCCATTGCGCAAGTAGGGCTGTTAGAGAACACTTTGCTTGTAAAGATTTCTACTTTTATAACTATATAAATCTTTATTTGCTTGCAATAAAACATTAAACATTTGATAACATTAAAAGTTGTTCTTGATTCAATATTAATTTTACAGCTGATACAATTAGCAATTGTTAGGTAAGATTTTTCTGACTTAATTTGATTTTGGTGTGAGACATAGAAATCTTTATAAAAACGTATGTATGTACTATAACAAGCTCCCTCCCAGACGCCTCGTCTTTAAAAACGAATTAATTAATTATTTTATTAAGAATATATAAGAATTGGAGACTATTGAAATCTGGCGGTTAATAACAATAAACTTCACGAAACTCCCGCCCGACTCTAATATAAGATTCTTGAATTCACTTTTGTTGAGTTTTTAAAAGTATTTAATAAAAATTCAAAATGAGGAAGTAGTTGAAATTAGAATCTAATAAAACAATATAATTTGACGGCGAGTACGGTACTTTACTCGACACGCTTTGACAAATAATGATACGAAAAAACGGCAAAATGAAACAGTCTGTATTTTTCATTACGTAACACGTATCAAAGTAAAACACTGAGCTGCTTAAAATACTTTAAATTAATAATAGAAACTTAAGTTTTAAAAGAAACACTAAGAGTTAAATAGACGACCACTTATTTGGTAATTTTTGAAGTATGTACAATTAACTTTTATGACGTGACGTTAAATCGAAACGCATATGATTTATCATAGACACTGACTGAACATTAATGTTAGTTTGATTTTGAGAAATACTTTTTTTTTATTCTTCCTCATTCTCGATAGGAAGAAATAATTCGTTTGTATTGCAGCAGCTATACTACGCCCATCTAATTTTACTTGACAACCCTATGATAATATCTTGCAGAGCATAAACATTTGACTGTATGTGTGGAGTCTTTATTGTATCGCCTATGAATACGGTGGGCTTGTTTAAATATGATTATAAAAATGTATGTTGTTATAATTCTGTTCATTGCGATTTACATTCTAGGGTCTCAAGGTACTGGTCTAGACAAGGTTTCGGAGTTGGCTGTAACAGTCGGTGAGTTATTTCAATTATCTAATTTTTATTTATTTATTAGGTTTACCAACATTTGTTTACATTATTTCTTCAGTATATATAATAGACAGTACTATATAATTAAATGTAACAAACATTTAAAGGCAAATACGACATGTATCCATCGAATATCAAAAATAAGTAATGATAGTATCACAAAAGCGATAAAAACTTGAAAAATTATTGAGTTATGGTTTTGTTCAAAATATTCAGTTTTCTTAAAACTCGTAGACAAAATTATGTATGTATCAAGTATGTTTATATGTATGCTGCTAGTTGTCTATATTATAAAAATAAATAAATTATGGTGTTGTTTATGATTAATCCAGTCCTGCGGAGCTGATAAGACTTTTCTGGGTGAAATAAAACCGGGATAACAGAGCAGCTCTTACTGAGTTTCTTGCCGGCTCTTCTCAGTACACGGTCTTCTGCTGTAGATTTGCAAACCGATGGGATAGTTTTCGACTGTCACGTGTGCTTGTAACAGCTAAGACTAAATAAACGATATTGAATTTGATGATGCTTTACAAATAACCCTGTATATTTAAAATATTGTCTTTGATATATATAAAAAAGCGAGCTATTCTTGTTAGCATTTACCGAAGACTTTATAGGCTACTATTGGTATTGCTAAGTAGATCAGTGTTAAAAATATAGACCAATTATGATGTCTCCAATTTTTCTGTCATATTTATTTAACCTTTAATATCATATTTATCTAATAGAGTGCAAAAAGTTGTTATTAATTACCTAGGCTAAAAGTCTTTTGTATTCCCTATTGTAATGAAGGTGCCACATACAGGATCAGTATTGGATTCCTTACTCTTTTCGATCATCCATACATGATCTATACTAAGAACTTATGTAGTAGTAATACAGTGCTATTTACTGTATATACTTTGTAAATTTTTGAAAGTGAAACATGCTAAAATATCTCTGAGATTTGAATTTCTTCTGAATTTCACGAGCGATTGTCAACAACTTAGTAGACCGAATATCATATAAATATATATTTAAAATAAATTGTCTATCAACGAATGGCCTAGCGGTGAAAGTGTTTACATCGGCTTAGTAATAGAATCGCGCGTGAGTTCGAGCCCTGCATGAAGTTATGTTTTATAATTTTATAAAAGGTACCTAATTTTCATTGTAGCCCGTTATGTCGCATATATTTACGTGATAAGAGGATCCGGCGAGGCAATACGTCTGACACATAACGCGTTTCGCTGCGGTGACAGCGACGGTCTCACGCGCTTGTACAAAAAGAACCACGCACACTATCTCGTGTTCGCCGCCAGCGTCGGTTACGTGCTCCTCAGTCACGCCAGTATACTTGGAGACGAATTTTTATACCTTTACGTTGGTAGCCTGATCGTGAAATATATTGATATGGTGAGTTTTGTTTTGGATATTTATTATTGTAAAAATTATAACTAATAGACAAAAAGTTAATAAAAGACAAAGGTTACAAATTAGAAGTTCTTTTTATATGATAGAGAAGTACTTCGAAAATATCATTGTATTATTTGCTCAAGACAGTCAAGAAGGTACGTAAGATAGTTATGTAAGGCAAATACCATTTATCCCTTTGTAAAATTAAATTATTTTTAATAGGGTCGGCTCCGCGACTATTTACTCTCGGGGCTATTGCGCATCCACCTAAACCGCAAAACGACCACTTCAAAACAATACAATATAGAAAAGATTACTTTCTGTATCGTCTGATTGTGAATCAAACTTCTTAAAGATTACTGAACCTCTCAGTCTTCAATAAATAATTCCCATAATTAGAGGCACTCTTCATCGGCATTCCTACAACATGTATTCATACAGCGTTAATATTAATACTTCTTTTTTATCCTTTTTCGTATTCTATACCACCAGGTTTCAATATCACTCAGTCATTTTTAGGGTTACATACCTCGTAAGGAAAAAACGGAATGCGTAAAAGAATCACTTTGTTGTCCATCCGTCCGTCTGTCATGACTTTTTCTCAGGAACGCGTCTACTCAGGTCTACTGACCTTTGGAGCTGTGAGAAAAACTTCCAAGCCAACGCAATCAAAAGATGTTTATGCCCCAAAGTTTCGCAAATTTTTGAAACTCGCAAGGGAATAACAAAATACAGGGTACCTACTTCCCGTGAACTAAGAATCTTGAAATTTGTTACGAAATAAGGTCTTACAGCACAGATAAAAGGAAAAATTGCAAAAATCGTAAATTTAAGACATTTTAATAAAAATAGTTTTAATAAATACCTACAGGTACGGAATCTTCGGTGCGCGAGTCCGACAAGCACTTGGCTGGATTTTCATATATGAATAATTTAAAGGATAGTAATAATCAAGTCTGTATTTTCTCATCAAGTTTCGCGCCTCCTAATGTCATGCATGTCCATAAGCACATGCCTAGTTTGCCTAAAACATAATACACCGTAATTATCATATTGAATGCACCGTGTGTAGGAGAAGCAAAAGCGCGCGGTGTCGTACGGCACGGGCATGGCGTGTAGTTTCTACGAGGGTTACTTGGCGCACATGATACCGAGCGACGGGCACAAGTTCGTCGGCTTCGAGGAGAACATTCGCATGTACGAGTCCAACGAGTCGATCAAATTCCCCGTCATCAGGCTGTTCATCATCATCACCAAGGATCTTTATTGCCCACCAGATTTGAAAGCTTTCAATAAACCGAACAGACCTGATTTGCCTTATTTGGAAGCGTGCAAGGTGTGTATATAGAACCTACCGTTTATCCGTGCTTCGAACTATGTGTTTTCTTTTTTCATCGAAAAGGTCTATCGATTCGATAGGGTCTACTTCCGGTTCGAACTTTAGGGTCCCAATTTCGCAATACAACTTTTTTATTTTAAGTACAGAAATCGTTACAAATCAGTATCGATCGAAAGTCAAACAGATCTTTGCGAAAGTATGATGTTCTAAACTTGTAATACCCATATTGTAGATAAAATAATACTTAAGCTATTTTAAAAAGCATCACCAATTGTCTCATGTCATGATAGCATTTAGATTCATTTCTTAACACGTTGCATGAAAAATTCTTTGTTCTATCTGCTACTTATAGCATTATTATATTTATAGCATGGGGAATACTATAGGGTAAGTTTGCAACGAATGTATTAATAAAAATCACCCCCATGACCGCAGTTCCTGCTACTCAGTGAATGTTTCAATCATAATCATAAATGGAGTGGAAAGTTAAAATACAAAAGTACAGTAAAATAGAGTAGTCATGTCTGTCCTGTGGTACTGTAACCCTACTCTTTATCTTACCACAACTCGCAGACTCGAGATAATATAGTAGAATTAATTTTCTTAAAAATTGACCCAAACGGGAATCGAACCCGGGACCTCAGAGATGTCAACACCTTGAAACCGGCTTGCTGAAAATCAGTGTCTGTTTCCTATATGGAACATCCAACACTGAGCTGTATACCTCTTAGAGTGCCGCTTTACACTCTAGGATGGTGGTGCGAATCATTGTTTGTTGTAATTTGTAACGTTTCAATACACCAACTGAGTATTTTACAATAACTTGGTAATGTAGTGATAGTAGTATCTGTCTATTTAATCATTCGGCTACGAAGGTCTTCGATCGTCGTCTGCCTAGAAAGTTGAACGGTAGGAGAGATATTCGTGTAGAACAACAGTGAAGATATTCCCTGCAGCCCCTGGAGAAGGTGAAGAAGGACGTGGCGGGCGTGAAGAAGCGCGTGTACAGGAACTCCGCGTACAAGGTGGTGCGCCGCGCCGCGCCGCCGCTGTACGTCGCCGCCGAGTGCGCCACGCCGCTGCACACGCTGCACCTCGTGCTCAGCAAGAAGGCGCTCTACACAGGTACACTGCCCTGCGCACTGCGCTCGGCACGGGTGCACTGCACTCTGCACTACGCTCGGTACTGGTGCACTACACTCTGCACTGGTACGCTGCCCTGCGCACTGCGCTCGGCACGGGTGCACTGCACTCTGCACTACGCTCGGCACTGGTGCACTACACTCTGCACTGGTACACTGCCCTGCGCACTGCGCTCGGCACGGGTGCACTGCACTCTGCACTGGTACACTGCACTACGCTCGGCACTGGTGCACTACACTCTGCACTGGTACGCTGCCCTGCGCACTGCGCTCGGCACGGGTGCACTACACTCTGCACAGATACACTGCACTACGCTCGGCACTGGTGCACTACACTCTGCACAGATACACTGCACTACGCTCGGCACTGGTGCACTACACTCTGCACTGGTACGCTGCCCTGCGCACTGCGCTCGGCACGGGTGCACTACACTCTGCACAGATACACTGCACTACGCTCGGCACTGGTGCACTACACTCTGCACTGGTACACTGCCCTGCGCACTGCGCTCGGCACGGGTGCACTGCACTCTGCACTGGTACACTGCACTACGCTCGGCACTGGTGCACTAGTTTATGCTAATAATTGTACCCTTAGTACCCGTCTCTTTGTAGTCACAGTTTTGATTAATTTTAACTATGTATACTATAAATGAAGAAACTAGTTAGTTATATTTTATTTTATAAATAAATAGTTCAATAATATCTGAGACATAATACCGAAGTGACAGCATGGCTGCGATCAATAATTTCAGAGATACCGCTATATCTGGTCAAACAGCTGCTAATGGGCCGAAAGAGCTCCTTAAAATGTCAAGCAAAGAAGTAACGCCACGTCTTGGTACGGTAGCCAAAATCGTATGCGCGTCTGGAAAATCTTAATTATATATTTATAGTTATTAAATCAGTTGTATAATATATTACATTTTATGCAATTAGTTTAATTCCATTTAGTTTTTAAGTGTAATATGTCTCTTTTCACTTACAATACTCCATGGCTATTGTATATATTTCATTAATTAAGTATCATGTACACCATGTTACTTATTTGTCAACAGAATTGGAGGACATCGATAAAGATGAGGTGGTGAATGATTTCTGTACTATGTTGACTTCCATACTGACCACCAACCCGGACTGTAAGGGCAAGTGCGAGTGCATCTATTTTGATAGTGAGTGTGTCCTTATAGGAATTAACTAATATGTATTTACAATTTATAAATAATGAGAGATTTATTTTATTGTCGTCAGATAGAGTTGTGTATCTTATCTTTTTATTTTATCCAAAGGTAGAAATCATAGGTATATGTGCCTACCTACACGCTATTGGTTACGGGACAGCATACCGATAAATTAGTAAAAATATGTTGAAAATGGTAACTCATGTGTAAACTTGTTGTATTTCATCAATTTTGCATTCGCAATGCTATTCTGTAAAATATTATTAATGACAAAATGGCACTATTGATGGAGCCTTGAACCCACGACCTTTCACAAATCGGATCAATACTCTAACCACTGAGCTACCCAGCACTTAACAGGGCTGGCAAAAATTTCCAAGCACTTGTTACTTTTTCGCTTCTACAGAGCGTTTTTTCATAAATATTTAGGCGATCCACCCATAAAGAACGTTACAAATGAGTTTACTATCTATACTTTGTCTATTGTCTCTTCTATACTATTGAAATGTGACGTACGTGACTAGTTGTTTTCGCGGGACAATTTAATGAATAAAAATACTTAATAACAGTTTTCGGAGAGAAATTTAACAGTAGTTAAATATGATTATAATGAAAAGAGGAAACAGTTAGAACCAACAACTACCATTTTATTTGCCTGGAAGTGATTTATGCTTCCTATAGTACCCGGCCGAACGTTTACGTACGAGACGATCTTTAAAAGTGCTTTTTTTCTAATATTTCAGACACTGATCCCGAAGCAAACTTGGCACAAGTATTAATAGACAGGATTCGGGAGATCGAACCCAACTTTGAGGAAATAGTCAGAAGCAAAGACTGTGACTAACAATTTTTGACAACTATACGTAAATACTATGAATATTTTCATATTAAGGTAATTTCAGAAATGTCTAGGTAGCTTGTTAATTTTGACATTATATTTTACTGTAGTTAATGATTTCATTCAAATGCCAATTTGACCAGATATAGTTTAACATACCTCCACTTTGAATTTAATTAAAATTTGATAATGTTTAAGTAAAATAAGTAATATTATTATTTTTTATGTTCGGTGATTTTAAGTTTTAAAAACATTGTGACGATAATTGTCTTTTAAATTCGGTTGTAAATTAACAGTGGAATCATATTATGTGGAACAAGAATGTTAAATTTTGTTTAATTTGAAAATACAAATGTAAGTATAAAATATATTATTTGAATCCAAATTAACATACATGACAATATATTCTTTACGTGTTATGCTTATGTTCTCGTATTGTATGATCACGTATAATATAGTGAGATTTAAGTAACTATGTTTAAATATAACCTATGTACTGTATCATAATTTGATTTTGGCAGCACAAGACTGAGTACTATGATAGATAATATTAAGATAATATTATTGTTTAATATTTAGATAAAATTAAAGGTTCAACAGTAGCGTCACAGAAACAATGTGGCAATCGAATCATAGTTGCTCTCAGTCAGTTTTTAAGCGATGTTAATTTTAAATTTTTCGTTACATTCGTACCTCTTTGTAACTGTCATATGTTTATCACAGCACTGAAGGATTTTTTTTTTTTGTGATTATATATAATAGTAATCTATTCACACAATATAAATCGAAGTTTGAAGTGTTAAAACTAAATTAACTCTAGTCTGTGCAACGGACTTATGTTATAATTTTTTAAAAATAAATGTCTTTCAAGATTGTAGATTTTGGTTTTAGGGACTTTAACTTCGACAATTGTATGACCATCGTCAGGATGTAAAGGTCATACAATTGTCGAATACTGGATTAAAGTTTGCTATAACTATTTTTGTTTTTATATATATTAAATTAATTTACCTGTTTAACATCCTTGAATTATGTCTGACATTTGGTATGACAGCTTCACACCAGGTTACTGCTGAAGACCAATCAATCAATTTATTTTGAACATAACTAACGAGAGATTCTTAATCTAAGTCAAGGGCATAAAGCCAAGACTGTCTCTTGCTCGTCAAAAACTATTTTAATAAATTGATCTCAAACTATTATGATTATTGTAAAAGTATTGCACTGACATAAATTCATCCATATGTACAGTGCCGGTTTTAGCACTACTAGCGCCCTGGGCGAAATTTCTTCGGCGCCCTCTAACTGCAATTCAATTACAATCAGTTACTACTACTTTAATTTTTAATAAATCAGTTACTTGTCTTTTTTTCGCCGACCCGGCCTACTTACTTGTAATTTTCCCTAAATTTAGGTAGATTGTTAAGTTGGCAGCATTAGAATGGAACATAGTGTTCAATCGGTTTAATTTCTCGGGAATCCCCGACTTTCCCACCATAAAAAAACAATGTGTTTTTCTATAATCGGGGATTCCCTAGATCTATCTCTTTTAATTTTTAACGAAGAAGAACACAATCAACAATTATCTTCTTGCTTGACATAAGTGGACGCCCTTAAAACAATTATTCGATTATTTAAAAACAAACAAACACAGTACTCTTATAATCAAACGTTTAACGCTACATTATGATGCTCTTGTTCCAACTATATAGTGACATTAGTTTTATTTAAAAAGTAGACATATAAATTGTGTATAAGTAGCCGATTCATTTTTGACGGGTCACATCATTAGGTAGTACAGATTCATTTTTACCCTAACAGGGTGTCACATAATTGTTATCTATAACTTTGTGTAATTGTTGTAACTTTGTGACAGTAAGTTTGCAGTGGGCCATTACTTATTATATGATCAATTATTTTGCTACTTCAAATAAGTGGACAAGTAGCTGGATCCGCTATATTCGGGACAACAGTATCAACATCCTCTAGTACATGTATTTGTTGTACATCAATAACAGATTTATCCTGAGCAGCATCTGTAATCATAGCACAACTTGCTCCCTTACTTCGGGATTTTTCATCCACAATCTCTTGAGTAGCTATTCCATCTAACTTGCTAGACAGAGGCTCCACTGCCGATGCATTCGTTTGTATTACAGCATTTTAGCTTCAGCTTAACGTTTAAACATGCTCAAACGAAAATTTTCTTAAATGACTGAACGATAATGCCCGCCAATGTACATACGTCATATTACCTTATAAAATACATATCTTCATATTGGTAATCGGTATGTTGTTCTGTTTTCCCATAATATAATATTTTTCTTGTTAAGTTTCCTTTCAATTCATGCTGAAAGTGAGGCAACTTGAAAATAAAAAAAAAAATCCTCAAGGTTCTTGTTCTTTTTTCGCCGACCCAGTAGGCCTTGTTCAATGAGCAAGGGAACTATAATTCCCGAAATCAAACTAGATTTCGCTACGGTATGTTCTTGATTTTGAAGCGTTTAGGGTTGTAGATGGGGGGTGAGAAGCACCCCCAGGCTTCAGGTATAAAGAATAAAAGTAATAATAAAGTTTAACAATCTTTATTTTAGTTCTCAGGGGGTAGGTTAAGATATTCGCTCGTTATGGTTCTTGTTTCTATAATTACGAGGGGAGGACTTAGCTTTTAAGTTTTGCAATTAGTGAGGACTTCGCGGGTTCGGCGTCACGGGCCGGGCAGAGGCTGAGAAGGGTGTAGACCCGACGTCAGCTCCGGTCAGCAGCACCGAAGGTCCACGAAGCTCCGGAGGACTGGAGTTGATGAAGAAGTAGAACTAGCAGTAGAAACTAGCAGTAGAAACCCTGTAACATAAATACAGCACTAAATAGAAATTCAAAAAGTGCAGCTACCTGTGGCCTGGAAAAATTAAGTTAGCTGCATTTGCTATAGCTTCTGTAAAAATCTACCGGCTAAAAAAATATAAAAACGTGTGTTTCAAATGATATCAAAAATCATTTAGAATGAAGTTAAAATAACAGATACTATGATAATAATCTGTAAGTTAAAAAAATACAAATACTAATATATTATATTATACGGGAATCGAACCCGTACTTCAAGTAAAATGAAAACACTAAGTGTTCCCTTTAAAATCATCTAAATTTCAAGGTTATCAAAATTATTTATAGCACAACCCGGGAATCGAACCTGAGATGGAAACAAATCACGAATTGAAACTGAAATAACTAGCATTCGGACAATGTATCGATTATATTTAATTATATATTTAATTTAGTAGACAAAATTAAATATGAAATCTGTAAGGTAGAAAAATAATAAAATGTTAAGTTTGCATAGTCTCAGAACTCCGTTCTGTTTCAATATATTGTTTTATGAATGTTACTACTTTAAGTATAGTAACAATTTTATAATACTTCTTTCCTTAAATATCTATTTCACCTTTATCGAAATAGAATAAAAATATTATCAAACATTAGGTTAAGAACTGGATTTTTACCTCAGTAATAATATTCAATGAACAATGAATAAACATTATAAAACAGCGAAACAGATTTAGAATTTAGAAGTTACTTATTGGACTTGTGATTTTAAAAATAAAATACTCTAAGGTAATAAACTTATAAGCGAGCAGCAAAAATTAAATGAATAGAACACTCACCCGATTTCGGGGTTATTTAGCACTTACACACAATTTGAAATAATCAAATCACAATGAAAAATTGGACTCGCGAGAAGTCATTTTAAATACTATGCCACCACTATGAGCCGCGCTGCGCTCCTATGTCTGCCTACCTCCATAGTACAATTGTTAACATTGTACCTTCAACTATTTTTAATTATATTTTTCTTTAAATTTATTTGTATTAAAAAAAGAATTCAAAACAAGGACAGTTTATTAAGTAAACTGTTACAATTTCTCCATGACAACCCTTCCAGGGGGCCAATTCTACTAAATAAATTTTGTTTAAATCGAATCGAAAACGGAACGAAACCGAACGAAACTACAACTTTTAGTGGTTTTCCTATTCTACTCGGTGTCAAAATGGCGTCAAACGATACAGTTCCGGTTCTATTTTAGTTTAGCTAACTATCGATCAACAGAAACTGTAAACGGTATTCTACTCGCTCAATCGAACATAGAACTATACAGATGTAGTTATGCAAACCGGAACCAACCCACAAATCTGTCAAAATCGAATTATGTGCAGAGAAGCCTAAAAGTGTTGCAATTAAACTCACATGTTGTAAATTCACAAAATTTCTTGATAAATAAATAAAATAAAATATATTCTACAAACAATTATTACTAAAAACAAGAAACCCATTTTTCTCAAAACTGACATCATGTGGCTGGTTTGCATAACTACGTCCATATACTTGAGTCGTTCGTCGGCCTTATTCCACTAAAATTTTGACACTTCGTTGGATCGAAACGCTACTGAAATGTTACTAAATCCGAACGTTTCATCTGTCAAAATTAACGATTTCTAAAAAGTTGCAAATTTCTACTTTTTGTCGATCGATAGTTAGCGTTTAATGATAGATGTGAAACAATTTATATTATTTAAAATTTTAAGAGGTGCAATTAGGTACCCCCAATTGCTGAGTGAAATAAAATACCTTGATCCATCTTCAGAATTGATAATTAAAAACATTTTGCCCTACAAAAGTAACTTCGGCAAACATATTTGTAGTGTTTGTATAGAAGAGGTTTTATCTCGGTACATTGGAGAGCTGCGAAACGTGTTCTTCGGTACCTGAAGGCTATAAAAAATAGGAAACTGACCTATAACAATAGTGGTGATCTAATCGGATTTGCTGATGCCGATCATGGTGGTAATCTGGTGGACAGACGATTCTATACAGGATATGTTTTCCAAATGTGTGGTTCAGCAGTGTCATGGGAATCACGTAAACAGTGAACCGTTGCAACATCAACAACAGAAGCTGAGTACATGGCTCTAAGTGAAGCCTGTAAGAAAGCCATCTACATTCGCTCATTACTAAGCGACATCTTTTGCTTTTCGTCACCCATCACCATTAATTGTGACAATCAAAGTGCCATCAAATTAACAAAAAACAACACGCATCACGCCCGCACAAAACATATTGATATTAGACATCATTTTGTTTATGAGTCTATATCCACTAAACAAGTCAATGTGTCATTCATACCATCAGCTCACCAAACAGCAAACATTCTCACAAAGCCACTGCCTAAGCTGAGACACTATATGTGCCTAACTAATTTAGGATTAGTTTAGTGTTATTTGTTTTGTGTTATTAGGTTAATTAGGTTAGGGCATCAGTGTTAAGGTACTTTTGATATTATTGTGTTTTTGTACATACAGTGTGTTTATATAAAGGGTGTACATAAGTGTCCTGATTACGGGGAGGTGTAGATAAAACCTTTTTCTATATTAATCAGACACTGGCATCTTTTCATATACCTTTTTGAATTAGTATTTTATACACTGTTTATTGTTTTTTATGTCATTCTCTTCTTTACTCTCATCTGACTTTTATGTATTTACAACGTGAAATATATTAAATACTCCAATCCACTGTGTCTTTTAATTCCTACATTTTAAGAGTTTGTGAGTGAGTTATCAATAGACTGTAAAGAACATAATAAGTTGTGTAAATCCATTGATATGTTTGCTTTATCCTTAATTATTTATAAAAATACCTTATATTAAGGTACCAAAAAATTTTAATCTTTGACTGTCTAGCACTTCAAGCATATAAAATTTTCTATCCAATATTATTTATTTCACAAAGATACAAGGATACTTTCAATGAGCACCCTGACGTCTGAAGTAAATATACAAAATTTGGGTATCAAACACCAGATTCCTCATCTACCTCATGAGAACATAGCAATCCATGTGATATAAATTATGTAAAATGATTAGAAAAAAAATGAAATCGAAAACTATGGAGCTAGATAAACAAGTGTGATAGTGCATGCAT